GAAATTAGAGAAACGATCCCATTTACAATAGCACCAAAACCATAAAATACCTCAGAATAAACCTAACCAAAGAGGTAAAGGATCTATACTCTACGAACTACAGAACACTCATGAAAGTAACTGAAGAAGACACAAAAGGATGGAAAAACATCCATGCTCATGGATTGGAAGAATAAATATTATTAAAACGTCTATGCTACCCAAAGGAATCTATACCTTCAATGCCATCCCAATCAAAATTCCAATGACATTTTTCAAAGTGCTGGAACAAACAATCCTAAAATTTGTATGGAATCAGGAAAGACCCCGAATCACCAAGGAAATGTTTAAAAAGAAAAACAAAGCTTGGGGCATCATATTGCCTGATTATAAGAAATACAGGCAAAAAGACACTGTAGGAATACAATTTATAAAATTCAGAATATGGGAAACTCTACAGAGCAGATAATCATTATTCTTAAACAAATAAATTGCAAGAAAAAATTATAGGGGAACCTATAGATCTAAAAACTTCAAATGTAATGTGGAAACTTTGTTTAGGACTGATTTAAGCAAATCAACTGTAAAATATATAAAACAAAATTTGAGACAATTATATTTGACATTGAATGAGTCTTCCATGATATTACAGAATTATTAAAATTTTAATTGTATTAATGATATTATAGTTATGTTCTTTTTAAGAGACATTTTACATTTTAGATATATATTCATAATTCCAAAAAGCTTACCCTTAAATATTTATCAATAAAATAATATGGTGTCTGGTATTTACTTCACAAGAATCCAAAGGACTGGGATGACTATATATTTGTAATTGTTTATGCTAGATGATTGATATATGAGTGTCCCTTATACTAATCTATTTAATATATGTTTGCATACAAAGATTGCGTATTTCAAGTGAGTTACCAAAACTTAGTACTTCTGATCTCCTCTCTGATCTTTGAAATCAATAGAGACTAAAATAACTACTCACAGAAATAAGCATAGGACAAAGTTTTAAAAAGCAGTAATAATGGGGTGCCTGGCAGACTCAGTCAGAAGAGCATGCAACTCTTGATCTTGGGGTAGTGAGTTCAAGCCCCACACTGGGTGTAGAGATTACTAAAAAATAAATAAAACAAACAACCTAAAAAATAAAAATAAATTAAAAATAAAAAAGCAGTAATGAAAGCACAATGCCGGCAAGTATACGTAACTTCACTGTGAGAAGAAAAAGCTTCCAAAGTCTCAAATTCAGTCAGGAAGCAATGGTCAGCCTTAGCTGACTCAACTTGCTGATTGCCAAGGTGGCAGTTTGGTAAAGAAAAAAAGCCCTGGTCTAGGAGACTACCAACACCTAGCTTTATAATCTCGGACTCATGTAACTTTAGATTTTGGAATTTGAAAGCACAGGAAGTGAAATAACAGCATGAATAATAATTGTGTTGTGAGTACTAACTCTAAGTTCTAAACTTCATAAGAGCTTTGAATGCATTATCCTCTTTTAACCGCATAACCCAAGGAGGTGTTGTGGGCACTTGATATATACTTTTTAAAGGACGATTAAATGAAGGAGGCATCAATACATGGTACCATTTTGCACATGACGAGTTTAGGTTTAGAGGTGCACAAATGTTTTAGGGTCACGCACTGTAGTTGGCCCAGCCAATATTCCAGGTGAAAGAATGCTTTGAACATGCCACTGCATCGGACCATACAACAGAGAAGGTTAGCGGACTGGGTGTGAAATACTGGAAACTTAAAAACCGCTTCCACAGACCAACAGTTTTCCGCGGCCTCACCACACTTCACACGTCTCGGTATGACCGGGAAGTAAAACCAGTCTTTCACTCACCGCCAAGATCCTGGACCTCACAGCCTGGACCTCCCGCCAAGGTTCCCGAACGCCATCGCCTCCCCGCGCCCCCCAAGCCCCGCCCCTTCACGGATCGCACACAATTTATGACAATCAAACTACATTTCCCATAGAACCGTTCGAGGACAGCGAACCTCCGCCGGAAGTCAGGAAGGCTGAATCCGGCGCCGGAAGAGTGAAAGTGGGGTTTTCCGGGTCTTGCGGCTATATCCTGCTGTTCTCTACTCTGGTCACCTTTGGGTTAGTAACAGCAACGACTAGTCAGTCGGCCCCGTGCCCTCCCCGGGTTGGGTGACCAGTTCTCAGTGTTTTTGATCTCAGCGCTGTTGGCCTGGCCATGCTGGGTTGTTTGGCGCGGCCTCCGGATGCGGTGAGGGTGCAGGGGCGGGAGCTGTGGGCTGGTAGCCCTGGCTCCCCGGAGAGGGAAGGGGGCGCAGCCGATGGGCTCCTGGTGGCCTTTAGAGTCCAGTCTTTGAGGTGGGGAAAACGAAGGGTGCTTCAACGTTTAAGATTCACGTTTAAAAGAAGGAGTCTCACAGTAGTGACAAGAAAGTAAACTATCTCAAGGCATTTAAATGTGTGGAGAGACCTTGCGTAAGTGGCGCTTGACTTGTTAAATGGCCACCTCGCATCCCGAAGGACATGGAATTCGTTAAATAATGGTCAGCGACTTCACTGACAGCCGTATTTGAACTCTGCCCTGTCTCTTGAACCATGTGACCTTGAGCAAGTCATGGGCCCCCAGTACACATCGGTAAAAGTGGATGTGGTTTGGTTAAAGGACCTCTCAGAATGGTCTCTGTTCCTTTTGGAAAGCAGGGGCAGCATTTTGCTAAGTGAATCACCTCATCCTGCCTTCAGATCCTTACCTTGTGGAAAACCTGTCAATGAGAAATGAAAAAGTAAATCCAGCAGTAGAGCTGGATTGCAGATTTTGTGTGATTCTCTGTAATGAGAAATGGTGGTTTCTAGATGGCTATGCTGCCAAAAAAAAAAAAAAAAAGCTAAGGGAGAAAGTACACATTTTTCACTGCCTTTCTCCTGAGAATACTGTATGCATAAGAATGGCCCTGGAGGTAGTGAACTGTACTTTATTTTTGGAGGACAGCTTTGCACTTTGTCCTGTGGAGTGGCCTGTGTGGGGAGGGTGAAGAAATGACTATGACCTCAGAACATGAGACAGTAAAATACTGCTTAAAGTAAACCTACCTGAAGAATCAGTGTGATATTTTGTGGAAAATCAATTCAAGGGAAAGGCAACTTGGAAGGGATACTATACATGAGTCAGTATACAGCAATGATTCAAAATCAAGTCCTGAAAAGTTGTAGTTTTGTAATTGATAATATTTGTAAAGCATTTAGAAATCTCAGTATGAACAGAACAGTGAAGTAAATTCTACAGTAAAGAAATAGTTTTCTAATATAGAAGTCACTCCCCCTAATTTAAATTATAAACATATTTTCACCATTCCTGTGAGTAGTTTTTTTTAAGCCTTTTATTTTAATCCCAGTATAGTTAATGAACAGTGTTATATTAGTTTCAGGTGTACAATATTGTGATTCAATTCTATACACTATTGAGTGCTCATCCTGAGTATACTCTTAAATCCCCATCACCTATTTCACCCATGCCCCTACCCGCCTCCCCTTTTGTGTATAGTCACATTTGACCTTTTTATAAGTAGCAGAAAGATAAAATCAGGAAAGGTGAACAATTTTTTCAGCCCATTTTTCCCTAAATTTTGTTCATACTCCCTCTACTATATAATTGATCAGCCAAATTGCAGTGTGAGAATACGAAAGACAAGAGCAGTCAAAATGTATGGATTATAACCTTTCTTTTTTAGCCTAAATATCTTATTGCTTAGAATAATGGAAAACTAGTTAGAATCCCAAATCAATTCTTAAATAACATTTTACTAAACAAAAATTCATACCTTAAAAAAATACTTTATTCTCATAGACAACTTAAGCATGAACCATTTCCACAAAGAATAGCTCAGTTTGTGCCCTACCACTTTCAATCCACGTTGAGACAACGTTTATGAAGAGGTATGAAACATATTTTCTATATTTTTTCCTTACTGAAACAAGCGAGTAACAAAGCAGACAAAGTAATGGTTTAAAAAGCTTCTTGGAGGGCGCTTGGGTGGCTCAGTCGGTTAAGTGACTGCCTTCGGCTCAGGTCATGATCCTGGAGTCCCGGGATCGAGTCCCGCATCGGGCTCCCTGCTCGGCAGGGAATCTGCTTCTCCTTCTGACCCTCTTCCCTTTCGTGCTCTCTATCTCTCATTCTCTCTCTCTCAAAATGAATAAAAATAAAAATAAAATCTTTTAAAAAAAATAAAAAAAAAAAAATAAAGAGCTTCTTGGATTCAAATTTTGACAAAGTGACCAAATGAACTATATTCAATAATAGATCCAAAATATATGGTCATCTGATTTATGACAAAGATGATAACTGCAGTGCAATGGGACAAATGGTAATTTCAAGAATGGTGCCAAGTCATATTGATTTTCCACTGGGATAAAAATGTATCTTGCCCCTACTTCACAATATGAACAAAAATCAATCCCAGATGAATTGTAGAATTAATTGTGCATGGAAAAGCAATAAATTGCTTTCATGTGAAACTTAACACAAGTTTTGAATAGTCAGCTGTAAGGATCATAATTTTCCTAAGGGCAGGCACCTGTCTCTGGTACCATAGAATCTAAGAGAATACTAGTCATCTGCTAAAAAACCTCTGACTTGACTTCTGCCTGTTTTAACTCCCCTCATTTCCCTGATCTATAGTGAAATTCCTCCGGTCTACTTCAGATACCTCCTCTTTGTAATGTGTGTTACCTGACACCCGTTCTCAAGGATATGCCCCCCCCATCTTTATTACCAAAGCTCCTTATGCATTATGTTATACATCCCATGGTGAATTATATTTAAAATTTAAATTATGTTTAAGACAATTTTTAAAGGTATGCTGTGATGACAGTTGAGTACTAATTACCTTTTGAAGAGTATATAGCTTTAAAAACTATAACTATCCTAATTACATCTGTATTCAGATAATGTTCCACCATTGAACAAAGGGCAATTGAAAATGAGGGCTTTTTTTTCTATTTTCCTCTTTTTAAGGAAGAAATGTCTTCTATAAAAAGAAGCCCAAAGCAAGAAATAATTTCCCAGCTTCACTATTCAGCTGCAGAAGGAGATATTGCCAGGCTAACAGTAATCCTCAGTCATTCTCCATCTCTTCTCAATGAAACTTCTGAAAATGGCTGGACTGCTTTAATGTATGCTGCAAGGAATGGGCACCCAGATGTTGTCCAATTTCTACTTGAGAAAGGGTAAACATTTTAGGCACTACTTCTTGAAGGGCTCTGGTTTAATTTCTGGGTTACATATTTCCTTTTAAATTTTTCTTATAGTCGTATTTATATCATTGGGCTTGTAAATAACTCATTGACCAGTTTCATTTTATAAAAACAGCATAGTATCTAACTAAAAGCTTTTAACTTCTTTTATTGAGGGATAAATCCTTCATACTTAATAGCAAATATATGAGTTAGTCTAATCTTTTTCTCCCAAATAGAAAATGTAGATCTACCCACTATAACTATCAAGAACCCCTCGTAAAATTTTAATTTCTTTTTATAACACATGAAACTTACTGTTTTTTATTTTACAATTCTCCAGAAATGTTAAATATCTACTATCTCTAACTTTTCATCGTTTATGATTATTTCTTTTAACCTTCCCATTAGTAAATTATGTACTAAAAAAATCTACATAATAATCATTAGAGGGGCTATCAAGTGCATCTGGAAATATTTTATTGTAATAAATATTAAAGAAAATGTTTATTTCCTATTTTTTTCTTTCCATCTATAGGTGTGACAGATCCATTGTCAATAAATCAAGGCAGACTGCACTGGATATTGCTAAATTTTGGGGTTATAAGCATATAGCTAACTTACTAGCTAATGCTAAAGGTGGGGTGAAGCCTTGGTTCCTAACTAATGAAGTGGAAGAATGTGAAAATTATTTTAGCAGAACACTATTAGACCGAAAAAGTGAAAAAAGAAATAATTCTGACTGGCTACTAGCTAAAGAAAGCCATCCAGCCACAGTTTATATCCTTTTCTCAGATTTAAATCCCTTAGTTACTCTAGGTGGCAATAAAGAAAGTTTCCAACAGCCAGAAGTCAGGCTTTGTCAGCTGAACTACACAGATATAAAAAACTATTTGGCTCAGCGTGAAAAGATCACCTTGATTTTTCTTGGAGTAGAACTTGAAATGAAGAAAGAGTCTTTCAATTATCCTGGAGAAGTCCCAAGAGAAGAAGATGGGTTGGTTGCCTGGTTTGCTCTAGATATAGATCCTGTTGCTGCCGAAGAATTTAAGCAAAGACATGAAAATTGTTATTTTCTTCATCCTCCAATACCTGCTCTTCTGCAATTGAAAGAAAAAGAAGCTGGTAAGAAGTGAACATGGTTTACCTGTTGGTAATAATTACCTGTTGGTGGTAATCTGGTTTTTGGAACTGGGTTGGAGTTACACAGCATATCTTCATTTTCTAGGAGGCACACTTTTTTCAGTAAGCAATGAAATTAGGCTGTCTTCATTAGAACTTTCCTAAAGTTCTCATTCTAGGGGACTACTCTCCTGAGCAGTTACAGCAGTTTTAATCAGCCAAGATTAGTTTCCCCAGAATTAATCCTAATGCATGCTTGTTTTATTTGATTCTTCAGTGAGTAATTATTGAGTACCTGCCATACACTGAGCATGATGTCAAAGACCTTGACTATTTTCTGTTGCAGGGTATGCTAGTTAATGTGGGGCCCTATATGCCATGGTTTTATTCCAAATTCCATTTAAATGTTGTAACCTGACCTATGGTTTAAAAAGAAACAAAAACCGTCACTCTGCCTGCTTTGTAGATCATGAATTTTAGGTAATTAAGTATGAAATCAGAAGTCTTAAGAGGGGATTTGAGATTACAGTAGCTCAGGTAAAAGGTTGCAGTGGATTGAGTTGATGGAGAAAAAGGGAGAGTTTGAGATGTTCTGGAGGTAAAACTGACAGGGCTTGATCAGTAGGTTGAAACTATTATAAGTGAGGGAGAGATGATAGTAACCTGGAGTACAGCCTGAATTAAGGTGACAATGGTAGAGATGGAGAAAAGGGTACATTCAAGGTATATTTTAAGAAAATCATCAGCACTTGTTGATGGATTGGGTATGGGGTATTTAATGATGAAAGAAAAGATCAAGAATGATTGCTAGGTTTGAGACTTTAGTAATTTGGTGGATAGTGATACTATTTCTTGATAAAATAGGGTGACAGGTTGAGCAAGGGAAGCAAGACTGTTGCTTCAAGACTATTTGGCTCAGCGTGAAAAGATCACCTTGAAGTAAATAAATCAAGATTTTAGTTTTGGGCATGTTCAAGTTTTAGAGAAGGATATTAGAATCTGGAACACAGAGGAGAGGTGTGAATTAGAGATACCCATGTGGGAGTCATCAACGTGAAGGTGATATTTAAATCTCAGGAAACTGAGAGAGTTAAGAGCAGGCAAGAAAGAAATCCTCAGAATCATACCTGAATCCCCCTAAATTTTGAGGTCAGGTAGAAAAAGAGGAGCCATCAAGGTGGCCATAAGGTAAGAGGAAAACAGGAGAATATGCTCATGAAAATCAAGAGAGCAGAGTATTTCTTTTTTTTTTATTACGTTACGTTAATCACCATACATTACATCATTAGTTTTTGATGTAGTGTTCCATGATTCATTGTTTGCGTATAACACCCAGTGCTCCATTCAGTACGGGCTAACCAATCCCCCCACCCCCTCCCCTCTAGAACCCTCAGTTTGTTTCTCAGAGTCCATAGTCTCTCATGGTTCGTCTCCCCCTCTGATTTCCCCCCCTTCATTACATTACATTACATATATTGAATGCTGTTGAGAATTTGAGTAAGATAGACAAAGATTTTTTTTAAGGATCTTTCGTTTTGGTAATATGAAGTTGTTGATGAATGTGACAAGAGGGGTATCAATGGAGTGGAAGGAATATAAGCTAAATTATGGTAGACTGAAAGTTAATGGGAGGTAAGGAAGGGGTCACTTGTCAATGTCCACCTTCCCTTAGGAGATGTGTGGTGGGCCCTTCCAGAGAATGATTAGATTATCTCTTCCCAGAGTCTGGATTGGTATGTTTTATTCCCCACATCTATGGAGAAAACATTGCACTTTTTAAGAAAATATATTTTCTTTATAATTTTAAGATCAAAAGGATCTTAAAATTTTAAGCTATAATTTTAAGATCAAAAGGATCTCTCTTTTTACTAGTAAGAAAACTGAGGCCCTTTTATTCACTTGCTGTGTAAACTTCCACAGTTAACCTCTTTGTGCCTCAGTTTCCTACTCTAGAAACAGAGGATAATAATAGTACCTACATCATAGGATTGCTCTAAACATTAAGATGAGGTAACCCATTGAGCTATGTAAATATTTTTATTTATTTCCCATAAAATATATTGTATTATTTGTCATTTATACTCTGCATCCATACCACACTGTTGTATCAGGTAGTCCAATAGAAATATACCTGTTTTGTTCTTCATAAATAAATAAATAATAAGATGATACATATAAAGCTATTTGCATAATGCTTCACACATAGTTGGTACTCAGTAAATATTAACTTTCTTATTGAAACAATATTGGAATAATGTAGATAGCATAAATTACATATTACAAGGTAACATAGCAGGGAAATATTTAATGTTGCCTATGGTTTGTTGAATTTCAGTATTAATTTGTTTTTATGTATGGTTTATTTTGTTTTTTCCAGTTTAAAACATTGTTATTGTTGTTTGTGGTTATTTTGGTTTTTTTTTCAAAAATCCTTAAACCAAATAATGTATTTTAATGAGAACAAGTTTGTCAGGCAAATGCATATGTAACATTTCTAGTTTTATTGCTTCAATTATAACATTTGTGGTCAGGCCATATTCTTTTTTGACGTACCAGGGTAAAGGCTATAGCCAAAGTATATATATGTTGTAAGATTTATTCTAGTAGGCATTTTTTTCATGAATAAAGTTAACATGAATGTTATAAATATAGTATTTTATTAATATTCTATGCAGTTTCCAGTTGTAAACAGGATATGTTTCACAGTGACATGGAGCAGTAGTGGTTTAGGCACCCAGGAAAGGAGAATTCCTGCAGTTTCCTATTAATATTTTCTTTATAGTCCAAGTCTAAATCAGGAAGTGGCTGCATAGTGTATTTTTTTTTAAGATTTTATTTATTTGACAGAGAAAAAGAGCACAAGCAGCGGGAGTGGCAGGCAGAGGGAGAGGGAGAAGCAGGCTCCCTGCAGAGCAGGGGAGCCTGATGTGGGACTCGATCCCAGGACCCCGGGATCATGACCTGAGCCAAAGGCAGTCACTTAACCAACTGAGCCACCCAGGCGCCCCGCTGCATAGTGTATTTTTATAAACGTCTTTATTGTAAAGTCAGTATTTGTAAAATCACTATACACTAGAATCTTGTGTATCCAAAATGTAAAAATCACCTGTAGTAAAAGCCTGAGCTAATATAGTATATAAGATAGGTGTGCTAACATCTATCTTATATGAGAGTTATATTTGATTAGTTCAAATTAAAGTTAAATCAAATTTTCATGTCATCTTTGGATTATTCTACTTCAAAAGAAATATACATCATAAAAATAGGAATACAAAAATTCTTGATTACGTTGCTATTCAGAAAATACAGTGTATGCTTTGACTTGCGAACATTTTACTTTGATATTAATTTGTTTACAGTTTATCACAGAATTAAAACTTTATATGCTTTTCTTAAAGGGGTTGTAGCTCAAGCAAGATCTGTTCTTGCCTGGCACAGTCGATATAAGTTCTGCCCAACCTGTGGAAGTGCAACTAAAATTGAAGAAGGTGGCTACAAAAGAGTATGCTTAAAAGAAGACTGTCCTAGTCTCCATGGTGTTCACAATACATCATATCCAAGAGTTGGTAAGCCTTTTCCTTTATAGTGAAATCTCAGCCATCTGGAATCTTAGAGAATAAGACATTCTGGGAAGACAAGGTTTTGAGTTGTTGAGGGGTTTACCTTTTTATTAAAAGCATATTTAATATAACTTAAGACTATAAGTATTAAAGTATTATATGGTTTCATGACTTTTAAGTAAGGGACATTGTCCATAATTAGCCTTTTTTTTTTTAAGGTTTTATTTATTTGTCAGAGAGAGAGAGAGCACAAGCAGGGGGAGCTGCAGGCAGAGGGAGAAGCAGACTCTCTGCTGAGCAGGGAGCCTGATGCGGGGCTCGATTCCAGGACCCTGGGATCATGACCCGAGCCAAAGGCAGATGCTTAACTGACTGAGGCACCCAGGCATCCCTAATTAGCCATTTCTTAACTCTGAGTTAATCAATATGAATTTGATGTGTTATAATACATGATTTCAGAAGTCTACCATTCTGGGTCCACTTAGTGCAGAGACAAAAAAAAAAAAAAAGTACCCCAACAGTTCAGTGCCTGTTCAAGGCATCACCAAAGCAATACAGCCTGGACCTAGCTTTACATCACTGCTGTTGTCAGCCTATACCTTCTCTCCTTCTAATTGCTGCATTGGAGTCTTCTTTAGGTTTGGAAATCTGAGAACCTAGTCCTTTAAAACTTGTGAAAAAATAATAGGTAAACTGAGCAATACCTGAGGAAGTCTCCTGAGAGTAAAATGCATGGCTTTGTGACACCTGGTTTCACTGCTCAGGAGCCTTTTACATTTGATTCCTGTTTTCAATCATGCTCTAGTAAGGAGAATTCACTGCATTAATGACTTCTGGGAAACAAACTTATTTAATTTAAATTTTATCTTTTTAATGGCTTACACCTAGTCATAGAGCCACATTAGCTTTTAAAAACTTTTGTTCAGGGGGTGCCTGGGTGGCTCGGTTGGTTGAGCAACTGCCTTCGGCTCGGATCATGATCCCAGGGTCCTGGGATTGAGCCCCGCATCGGGCTCGGCAGGAAGCCTGCTTCTCCCTCTCCCACTCCCCCTGCTGGTGTTCCCTCTCTCACTGTCTCTCTCTCTCTCTCTGTCAATTAAATAAATAAATAAAATATTTTAAAAAATAAAAACTTTTGTTCAGGATTGGATTGGAAGGGAGAGAAAAATTCACACTTACTATTGTAAAATTTGTATTTTCTTCATGCCATAATAATACTCTGGGGGTGCCTGAGTGGCCCAGTCATTAAGCGTCTGCTCAGCAGGGAGCCTGCTTCTCCCTCTGCCTGCAGCTTCCCCTGCTTGTGCTCTCTCTCTTTAAAGCACTCTGTCAAATAAATAAAGTCTTAAAAAAAATACCTACTCTAACTTTTTTTATAATTAAAATATATGCCTAGCATACCATAAGTATATAATAAGTGTTGCTATTAAGAAGAAGACAAAATTGGTCTTCCTTTAGCGTACAATATTCTATGCAATTTCCCTGAAATATTCTGTCATCAGGCAGAAAGGAACAGTCTCATAATTAGACAAGAGTCTTGTTGTTACAGGAGATAAACCTTTTTATTATACTGTTTGACAGTGACTTTACACAATGAGTCTAAATTATTTTTTCCTATCATTCATTCATCTGATTTTTTTAAAAACAGATCCAGTAGTAATCATGCAAGTTATTCATCCAGATGGGACCAAATGTCTTTTAGGCAGGCAGAAAAGATTTCCCCCAGGCATGTTTACTTGCCTTGCTGGATTTATTGAACCTGGTAAGCCTTTTCTTAATAATTTTAATAATAATCTTCCTTTAACTTGTAATTTCCAAATAAAAATTTTAGACAGCATTTGACAAATTATCATGCTATGAAACTGGGATATTTTTAAACATTTTCTGTGTATTTTAAGTGATGTAATATTTGTTTTTACTAGCAGAATAATTTTGTCTGTTTTAAAAATTCAGCATTTCCTCTTTCATGTATTGCTATTACCAAAGTATCTGCATGACTTACACCTCACTTCCTTCTTTACTAGACCCAACTGTGTCACCTTTTCAGGGGTCTTCCCAGATAGCCCCAAATACATTAGTCAGCGTCATACCCTGCATTCACAATTCTGTCATCCTGACTGACTTTTCCCTATAGCGCTCATTACCACCTGACATGTATGTATGTATGTAGGTATGTATGAATGTATCTCTGTATTTATTATCTGATGTATGTATGTATGTATCTATTTATCCATCTACTCATTTATTATCTGCTCATACCAGAAAGTAAGTTGCATGGGGTGGGACTTGATTTCACTCATCATTGTAGCCCACACCCTTAGAGCAGTGCCTTATATGTAGTAGGAGTTCAGTAAATATCTGTGGAATAAATGATAATTAACAAACATGTTTAATCTTAACTTCCAGTATTAATCTGCACTGATAATAATAGTACTAAACATACTTTGTGCCACACTCTGTTTAGAAGGCTTTCCAGATATTCAATCATATGACCCTCATACAGACTTATAGAGTAACTATTACAACAGTTTTACAGCTAGGGCACTAAGGTACAGGAGCTGATTCACTTGCCCAAGATCAAACAGCTAATCAGTGATAGGGCAGGGATACAAACCTGGGCAGTTTGGCTGAGTCCATGCTCTTAATCACTATGCTGTCTCTAATAACTCTAGGCTGTTTCTTTTAACTGCTGTGTACCATTTTATTTATAAATACTCTTCAATTCATCCATTCTGTTGTTGGACAATTAGTTTATATCAGTTTTTGCATTTGCAAACAACACTGCAAAGAATATTCTTATACTACTCCTTGCGCACATTTGCAAGAGTTATCAAGGGTATATACTTGAGAGTAGAATTGTTAGCTTGTAGGATATGAACATCCTAACCTTTCGTAGACATTGCCAAGTTGGTCTCTGAAGTGTCCCTACCAATTTACACTATTTCTAACAGCACATGAAATGTTTTGTTGTTCCACATCTTCACCAAGTTAGAATTTTCATACTTTATAATTTGCTATTGCAATAGTTATGAAATAGTGTCATTGTAGTTTTCATTTTCATTTCCCTACTGATGCAGCATCTTTTTCACATGTGTTTTAGGCATCCGATTTTCATTTTCTCTGAATTTTACATGTTTATATTCTTTGCCTAATTTTGTTTTGGTGGTTTATCCTTTTATCTCATTTTAGGAGTTTTGTAGAATGTATTATATGCTACTCTTTAGCTATGGTCTTGCAAATATCTTAGTGCCAGTCTATGACTTAACCTTTCCACTATATTTTTTGGTGAACATAAGTTGTTAATTATAATATAGGAAATATAGCAATCTATTTGAAATAAAAAGCTGTATTTAAATAGTAAAATATTTCTAAACTTTCAGATAAATTTACAAACCATTCCCTTTATTCTGATTCTCAATTCCAACAAATCAGAAATAAAAAGTACATCTCTAGGCACTATATTTTATCATACCTGAGTCAATAGTCATCTAGAAGAAAAAAATCATTTAGAAAGAAAAAATACTGTTTCATCTTAAGTGGTTTTTAAGCTTTTAGTGTTTAGTTTTAACTCTTTTTGAGAAAAGTTATCTGCAGTAATTGTTTGACAACATAAAAAATTTCAAAATTTTAGTAAGGAAAAGGCTAGCCATTTATAAAAATCTTGGAGTAATTTGTAACTATTTACTGATAATACATAAATGAGATAATATATAAAATGTTTGCATAGTGTTTAGCTAATAGCAGGTGCTGGATAGTTGTAGATGTTACCATTTTTACACTGTAAGCAAAAAATTTGGACCTTCAAGAAAAGTTTTCTGGCATTTTGATTATGTCTGTGGTCATATACTTTAAAAAATAATATTTTTTAAACTTCCAGTCTAGTTTTAGGCTTCTGCTTTCTCATTCTTTGAATTGGGTTTCTGTCCAAAGTGATTTCCAAATGTTTGAACCATTCGGAGCACAGAATGTTCAAGGAATGTTCATCAGCTACTTGTTCTTTTGCCCCATTTGATTAGGAGAGACAATAGAAGATGCTGTTCGGAGAGAAGTAGAAGAGGAAAGTGGAGTCAAAGTTGGCCATGTTCAGTATGTCTCTTGTCAGCCATGGCCAATGCCCTCCTCCTTAATGATTGGTTGCTTAGCTGTGGCAGTGTCTACAGAAATTAAAGTTGACAAGAATGAAATAGAGGATGCCCGCTGGTTCACTAGAGAACAGGTAAAGTTCAATTTAATTTCCTTCTTCTATTGATTGTTCTCTGACTGTATCAGTTTGGGCATGCAGCAAGGATACATGTTTTCACCAAGTTGAATGAATGCATATGGCCCACCCATCATGCATGGATCACAATGTAATGGATGTGTCCTATGTTAACTCATTCTGTGAGGTTCTTCTAGTTGATGATTCTGTGCCATTTTCTAATTTCAAATGCCGTTCCTTTGGATTAATGATACTTTTCAATGGACTTAAAATAGGTAAACATTGTTTCAAAGATGAGAAACAGGAAGATTTTTCTTAGACATTTTGTATTTTAGTTTACAGCATTAAAACAGGTAGCTCTCAAAAAATAGTAAAAATGCTTAAAATTTTTGAAAAGTTCTTGTTCATTTTAAAATGTGCTTAAGGACAAGAATAACAAAACTATATACAAAAGATAGTCACAAGAACTTTTTAAAATGTCATCCTTCAGTAGTATAATGAAAGATAAATTACTGTTTGTTTTGCTTAACCCAAAGTATTTGTATAGAAAACAAATGGATACACTATCAGTAGTGAAGACCTGAAATCCTTTCAGACTTTGCCTAAACAAAATTTATTTTATTTTATGCTCAACTTCAAAAAGTAGAAATTAAGTGTTTTTTAGAATTTTATAAAAGGGAACCTGTTGCAAAAGTTGACTTCACTTTGAAAATAAGTGTGGAGTGTGTACTTTTCTTTTTCATGTCCTTATTTTCATTAAGGGAATATGCCTTTCTGGAATATTTTTTTAATTGATTCACTAACTCATTGAATCAACTAAAAATACTATACTAAATTTTGCATGTTGAACATGGATGTTGTCACTTTGTACTGTTGTTATTCACTGTAAAATCATCACATTTTAGTTAAATTGTAAAAGCATAGAAATAGTATTTAAGTATGACAGTGTTAAAATCCTAATACATTTTATTATGGTGTATTTTAGGTTGTGGATGTTCTGACCAAAGGGAAGCAGCAGACATTTTTTGTGCCACCAAGCCGAGCTATTGCCCATCAGTTAATCAAACACTGGATTGGAATGAACCCCAATCTCTAAATCAAATAACTAGACTTTGAGTATTAATTGATTTCTAATAACTTATTCCTCAAGTGAGATTAGAAATATTTAGTGCTCTTTGGAATGTCACAACACAAAATATCATATTAGGTTTCAGAAATATTTTCAACATGTACTTTCCATTTTAACCATAGAACTTGTGTTTTTATAAATTACAAGACTGCCTCAGATTTTGTTAAAATCCAAGTCAGCCTCTCCAAACACTTTTTTGGTTGTACTCCACAATTCTATCTCACAAAACCATATTTCTAATAGAAAAATCATGTTGTAAAGACGTATATTTTAAAAATGTAAACAAACCAAAAAATGTAAACAAACCTAAATTCCACTGCCTCTTTTAAGCATTAGACCAATCACTAAAGTTCTATTCTTGAGAAATCAAGCAAAATAATTTTAATGAATTTTAAGCTTCATTTCCAGTCTTTTCATTACCATAAAGGTTCTTTCAGCCATCAGTAGCTGATTTTTGCTCACTTCGCATTGTATTCCACTTTTTTCTCCTGGTTTCATTGTTCTAGCAGTGGTGCTGTTAGTGTCCTGCCACTCGTCTGTTTTGATCAGTGTTAAGAATTTTCTACTTTAACACATCTGCTGATGATCATAGTACCATGCCTTCATTGAAAGGAGAGTTTAAATGAGAGCATACCACTATGTATGGGACCTCCTCCTGAAACCTAAAATCAATTAATATGTATAATTATCTGTTGAGGAATTCTCCTCAAAGATCAGATGTTAAATATTTCCCAGATAGATTTACATATTCAATAAAAACACTGGCTTTATGTCATTCTGTGATAAGGGATTTATCTGCATTTGCAAAAAGTTATGTAATCATTACTAATTATATTTATTAAACTCAAATGCAATATTTTGATTTTGGCCTTATTTCAACACATCCTAAGAAGCCTTTATAAAATAAGTATATCTTAGAACTGAATCAGTAAGATTCAGAGAAAAGTAAATTGTAGTAATTCACAGTTTTACAATATACAACTGTCATATTTTATAAGGCTGTTTTGAAATTGTTTTAAAAGTTAGTCTATAAATGTATAAATTTATATAATTTGGCTCTTTATTATTTTATGTTAGAACTGGAAGAGACCTTAAGGATAATATATGTAGTTTAGTGACCTTCTCTTATAGGTAAGGAAAAAGAAATCCTGAGAGGTGAATTTAATTAATCCATTAAAGTTGAATCAATTAATTAATCGATGAAAGTTACACAATTACAACTTACCATTGTTCATACAATTAGTTGTAATTATAGTTAAAAACTTAATTTTAACAATATAGCCTAGTGCAGGACTCTCCCTCTAATAGGAAGTAGAAACTACTACTAAAAATATAGGTAGAATAAATTAAAATAAGTGATGATAAGAACAAATTTAATTTACCAACACTGTTAATTAAAATTTTTAGATACTAAAATCTAACTTAAATATGGTAATTTTCTTAGATAAAACTTTATTTTACTAATAAACAATGATTTTCTTAGTAACTGGTGAAAGCTTATTGGTATCAGGTCTTTAGACAAAATTGACTTACATTGGACATTTAGATACATAATAAAATTTTAACTACATAAGTACATAGAAAATTATGTGCCTTGATTATTATGAAGTATGATGACTTGAGGTTCGGTTTTACTCCAAATTTACTTAGAGATTCTAAGATTACATCATAAAGTTCCAGGTTTCCATGTTCAGATAGCAAAGTGAAATATAAACTATCAACAAAATGTAGTTAAAATTTAGTTTTGGATATTTAATCCTATTCTCAGGAAAATCAGTAAGTAAATTATTGTTGTTAATAATCATTCTTAACACTGCTAACCTCTGAGAGGTGAATAGGTACATGTAAAGAGAAGGAATAGCAAAGAAATTTTAGAGGTTCAAGTGCCATGAATGTATTCTAATGGAAATGAAGGTAACAATATATTAAAATATTTATCTATTTTCTGTTTTGTGTGTTACGTATTTTTTAATATGTTTTGATAAATGTCTTCTGAAAAATGAAAAGCCAAATTTCAGTCATCCTCCCCTGTATAATGATGTGTAAACAAAAAGTACAAAAGGCCTTTTAATAGTATTCATATCTGGAAGACTTAAATCTTTAAGCTATACATATATATACACACACATATAAACTTACATATATACATACATATATATATACAGTCAATAATTTTTCATCATCAGATTTGAAGTTATATGTCTACTTTCTATTTTTATTACTTGTCTCAAAATACTGATCTTTGCATTTTGAATTTTTCACTGTTTACTGTTCGTGGAAGGGCTAAACGAATTAGAAGCACACATATTTCATTTAGTTGGAAAAATTATGAAGTAACTCAAAGATCAGGTTAGAGATTTGGATGAGGACAAAAGAATGGAAAAACAAAGGGTGAGACCATGAGGTGGAAGAAGAGAGTATGTTTGTTAATAAGCCAAATAAACTTGATTAAATCTCATATAACAGTGGACAGCTGTTTCTAGAACTGTGTTGCTAATGTATATATAGCAAAATAGTAGGTGTAAATGTTCTATAAAACAAATCCATTAATTATTTAGAATAAAATTTCCACAACACAAATTTTATTAAAGATGAGAGCCAACTATTAGGTTCTGAATATATACATACATACGTACATGTATGCGTATGTGTGTGTGTGTGTGTATTCAAGCAAGGTAGGAGTAATGGGTGTTGAAATTTATGTATATGCTGTGCTTAAAAGGTCCAGTTTTCTCTAGTAGAAAAATACCTAGGACAAAGTAATCCAAAGTGCAAAATTAAGAGTATCTGTCTATAAATGTAAAAGAGCTAGGTTTTGAGGCAAACCAGAAGTCCTTGCAAATGGGTTGAAAAAGAGGGCAAGAGAGTTTAACTTTAGTGCACGTGGAGGGTGCTCAATAAGGGGTTCAAATGCTAGGGAGCTTTGACATAGGGACAGATGAGAGACATAGAGGGTATATTTCAAGGAGAGAGGGATAGGGTCGCCAGAGCCTGCATCTTCATAATGTTTTACCAGTCAGAAGAGAAATGGAAAGGAGTTTCTTTGTGAAAATAAACTCAATGCTGAAAATGATTTTTCCCCCTATACTACGCCTTGTCCTTTTTCTTCCCAGGACACTCAGGTGGAATTCAGAACAGCTTCTGTAATAGCAAGCACAGTTTATTATCATCTACAATAGGTTTTCAAATGGTTCGTTTTATTTGCCCAAAGTAGAATGGTCAAAAGGAAAGTTATTCAAGTAATAAAGATGGCATAGGAAAAATGGGCAATCAGAAGCCTGAGTTACTTTATTGTTTGGGAAACATTTTTTCAACTATAAAACAAACATTTGGACATGTTAATTGGGTTAACAGGCAAATTCCTCATTCTATTTTTACTGAAGGATATCTACATATAATTGTACTTATTGGTGGAAATAGCCCTTTCAACTTTTCTTTATACCTTCAAGAATACTGTTTCTCTTTTATTGCTCAGCACACAACGCCATAGCATTGGACAATGGATATTTCTCCTTTTCACAATTCCCATTGTAATGATGCTGTACAGAATAGTGGGGGCAGCTGTGAAATTTTAAAACCGATTTTAAGTTTAAAAAGAAGACTTTCTGCTAATGGAAACTTTTTTCTCACTAGAAGTCTGATAAGAGACAGACAAAATATAGCATAAGGAGCAAAAAAAATATCCTGGCTTTCCAGTCCTTGGCTCATGGAAACTATAGCAGACCAACTCTTTGTCTCACCCTGATGGATTAAGAACATTCTAGCCACTTAACTTGTGAGGTGGTTTCATTTTTAGTGATGTGAAAGTTCCACCCTGAAGTAGAAATTGAAAACAGTACTCATATTATTTTAGAACAGCCAGCATAAATGGACAAATGATGTCTGAAGTTTATTTTATTTATTTATTTTTTATCCTGTCCATTTTACTCTACCCTGAAATTGTAGTCTATTGGAGCAGTGTGATGTTTTGAACACCTCAGTAGAGTACCTTATAAATATTTATACTGCTTTCAGGTAGCAGTGAGCTGAAGTCATCTCTATCAGTGGGGCTAAAAACGATTTAAAATGCCATTTATCCAGTGGCTTTGCTGCTAAGGGTTATTTTGCTTTTTTGTTGGATTTACTTGTGTTTATGAAACAAGTTTGAGTACTCTAATGCCAGTTTGGAGGATTTGGAACTCCAAATAAGAAGCCCTAATGACATGTACAAATTCAAACCTCAGGGGCTGCCTTGGTCCTGACCATCATCTGCTCTGCATTGTAGTGAAGTCTTCACCGGGAATGTAGTGAAGTTTAGAACTCTGTGTATTCTGGGAGACACTGTCGAGGATGAAAAGAAAATATGCACGTATCAGTGTGGACCTCAACGTTTTCATGGTTGTACAGGTGTCTAATAATGATTATTTCAGAAAAATACCCTTATTTTACACATATTACTAGGTTTGTCATATTGCTCTTTTTCTTTAGTTCCCAGCCATTTCATACATCCTCATGAATAATAAATGTTTTTCATTTTATTATGATGATAAATCACAATATTCTATATGATAATAAATCCTAGTATTTTTTAATGATTTATCATCATTCTATTAAGATGATCACATAAAATACGTTGTTTTGTTTTACACCATGAAGAGGGTAGGAATGAATATTCTCCTTGTTCAGTATCTCTAACATTAACACTGATAAGTTGTAAGTTTAATTCAAATCCAGATTTCTGAACTTTGTAAAAATTATTTGTTGCCTTTTCTCTCCCAACGTATTTCTCAGAACTACTTATGGATCCCTATTTACAACAAACTCCTAAGAAAATGTAACTCTTTGGTTAGGTTATTCTCATAATACTATTTACACAGGAGTTTATATATAAAATGTTGACAATTATTACTTCTTTTTATCCTTACCCCTATGAAATGAATGTCAATATCATTATCCCCACTTTACAGTTGGCTAAGAAGGGGTTAACTTTATCAAAGTCACATTGTGAATAAATAGGAGAGCCAAAATTTGAACCCAAGTATTTCACTTCAAATCCTTTCATCTTTCCACTTACCAGAGCTACCTTACAGAATTTTCTTAATAATGCTGCATTGAGAACTTACAATCTCAAATTTCTCTCTCAGTTCCTTAAATTTTGGTCATTTTTCAGGTTGGACCTTATATTCTTGTTACTCTGGACATTTCTGTAAGACCCTCACTACTTGCTTAATTACCAGATTTCTATCTCCAGCTATCAGACATTCCTACTGGGACATCTCACTGCCTCCCAAATACTACGTGTACAATTAAATTATCTTTTATCCCAAGTACATTCCTGCTTCTAGTCACCTATTTTAATAATCTTGCAATTTCTAATATGGAGCTTTTGGGTATTATCCTTATTGTCTACTTTATTCCTTATCCTACCCCACCCTGCAGCCAAGCAATCTCCAAATCCTAT